TGATGAGCTTTACAACTTTTGTTACAAGACCAAGAATGATTTACTTAGTAAAAAAAAAGTTTTAGATAGAGCAGCTCCATATTCACACTTATAATAAAATTTATATATAAAAAAAAAATTTTTGTTCAGTTGACTGAAGAATTGCCTATTAATCAAGCAAATAAAGAGCTATTTGAGTTGCTTTAATTCATTAGTATTATGAAGATAGTGAATTATGGGAATGTCACAAATTGAAGCTGCTTAAACACTATAGTTGTATACTGTTGGAAGCATAGATAAAACTATGCATATAATCCTGCAATTTAATAGAAGGAATCAATATTTAGCAAACAGTTTTATGTTCTAATAATTGTCTATATAATTAATTTAAAGTTATATCTGATATATTAAATAAATTCGTTATTTATTAATAATTATATAAATATTGATACATATTTATTTATTGATACATACCAATTTTGGTTATATATTAAGTAATAATAGGTTTATTAATATATATTGATTATTAACTATTGATATATATCGATACCTGTTATATATCAAGAAATATAGTTTTCTGATGATAAGATATATATCAATATTTATCTAATTATCAATATAAATCAAAATATTAACTAGCAATACATATTGTTTTATAGCTATGTATTGATTTTTATCTATATATCGATAAATATTGATAATTATATATATTGATATATAGCTATATATTGATTAAAAATAATTAATATATATCGATAAATCATTATATATATTTGTATTTAAATTTTGCTGATATAAAAAATCTACACAAAAAGAGAAAGATTTGACCCCAAGAAAAACTGTCCAAAAAAATGCCTGCTCCTCAGTGTTTTATGTCTTCAAACTTTGTCAACAACTGCTTTACTCCAAGATAAGACTGAGAAGTATCTGTCTTGGACATTTCTATATTGTTTTTCTATAGTTTGGTTTTTGTTGTTGTTGTTCAAAGGATCATCAGAAAGAATTATAAATTTATATATGTTTAAATGGTTAAATAGAGGCTACAATATATATTTTTTAATAAGTAATATTTTCTTTTAGAAAATTAGCAAGATTAAATATTTCTGGAGGAATTAAAGGCATAATAAACACTTTTTTTTACAGATCTAAAAAATTTATGATCTATACTATATTTTTAATTAGATAATATAAAACACTCTAATACAATATGCCACAGTATTATCTATCACCTACTATACTTATTCTTTTAGTGCTTCTGGACTATGAATTGGTTATTCTCAATAACTACGCAATATGTGAAAAGATATGGCAGCTTTATTATTAAATTTATAAATAGAGAAATTTCTCTTATAATTTTCTAAAATATTATTGCTAAGCTGTAAGTATCAGATTTTTTATTTGGTTTTTTTTAAATTATAATCATAAATATATAGATCAAATATTCTATCTTTTCTTTTATAATTAAAGTTAAAAAAGTATAACTATTATCTATTTTTAAAATAAACTTATAAATTATAATATGTAATAAATCAATTAATAATTACTAAATCATAATGAATTATATTTTTATAAAGATGAAAGTAACTTGAATTGGAAAATTGATAATTTCACCTAATTTTTATCTTTAAATACTCTTATGTCATTTTTTTGGTATATATTTACAAGCTTCTGTTGCAAATTGTAGCACCAATATGAATTTGCTTTTAAATCTATATTATATACTAGTGAATTAACTTGACAAAAAAATTGTTGATCGATGATTGACCCCAAAAAAAATTTTTAATCGATTAAAAATCAAGAATACATGCTTGATCAAGTATAATCAATCAAGCATGTAATTTACAAGCTCGAGTTGATATAATCAATCAATTATTAGGTCAATTATTGATCGATTATACTATATTTAACCTGTACATAAGTATCCGGATAAGTATATATTATCTAGGTGATCTAAATTATATAATGTTTTAAAATTATTATGATAGGTAAATTTCATACAGTGCATAAGTATCCCTAGGAATCGGGAATCTTTTAAATATTAACCTGTAATTAACTAGAATTAAATATTTCTTATAGTGAAACCATGAAAAATACTATAATAAATTATATTTATTGAGGATATAATTGCTGTCCAAACTATTTGGGACGGCCTACTAGAGATATATGATGCTTAATTGTTACATATTGTAATTTATGTAAAAATTAACATCTGTTGTAATTTTCATAATTATAATCATGTAATAATTAAGCATTATGATGCATAGTGTGAGATGATTAGCAATATGGTTAAAACTTGGTAAAAACTATAATCATTATCGTCCCAAACAGTTTTGATGGAAATTATAATTGAAGGGTTTTAGAATTAAAGAGCAGGAACCTAATTTTGATAGAAATAGATTACGTATTTATTTTCAAATAAGTGCGTATCAACTTTTTTTGAGAGTGGTCGAATTAAATCTGTAAGAATCATAAAACACTATGTAAAATACTTGGAGTGACAAATAGTGTATATCAATTGTTTAAAGTACCAATTATATTAAGCGTGATAGATAATTCATGTAATTTATATGCTAATAATATAAGTCTCATATGGTGAAAACTTTTTATTTACAGGTTTGAATTTGTCAGCACTCATTTCATATTCTGATAAATTTGAATCCATAGAGTTTCCAAACACTCATTTCATTTTCTAATTTTGAAGCTTTGAAATACAAACAGGATTTTTAATGCATCTATTTATTTTGGAATATGCTATTTTTCATAATTATGAAACCCTCTATTATTGTAAATATTATTATAAAATTTTTAATTGCTGTACTTTTCAAATTACTATGTATGTATCGTTATTTGAATTCAGCAATGGCTTATTTTTAATTATGAAGAAGATATTATAGATACTGATAAGCATAAAATAATGCTCACAGGTATCATTTTGAGAATCAGGTCCTTCAAGAATGATTATATGCCTCATAGATATTCAGAATTAATACACTTCTTAGTATAGCATATAACTTATTGAACAAATGATTCTTCAATAAATGCACTTAAGTTAGTCTAATAAATTAGATAACTTTATATGTAGTTTCAATGAGTGCATACTCCGTATCAACAATATGCATTTATAGAAAGACAACAAATGCTAAACTTTTATATTAATAAGCCAACTGCAAAATATTTATTGGATGTATACTAAAACCGCAGCAAATTTAAAAAATACAGTAATAGCAATTATATTTTTTAATCATAAAAATTATAATATTCTCTATTTCTTTTAATAAAAAGAAGTTCACTGACTGTTTCAAGCTTAAGCCTATTTCTTTCAGTCATTATTTGCTTATCTGCATCACTAAAAAGATGTTCACTAGGAACAGATATCGCTGAAATTCCTAAATATTGTTGAGATATCTTAAAAAGAATAGGAAAATCTTTCTTATTATTTTTCCACTATTTAAATGGATCTTCATCACTATTAGCTTGTGGTGTCCGAAATTTATCAAGGTAAGAATCAATTTCATCCTCATTAATAATCTCTTCTTCTTCTTCAAACAGACGTAATTTAAAATTGCTATTTGTTTTTTCTTTATGCCCTTTGATAACTATTTTTATTGTTAGACTCTTGACTATTATTTGGAAGTTCCTCATCTTTAAAAAGAGTGTATTCAGATCTTAATAAAGTGATTGCTTTTTCTTTTTTTTCTTCTGGCCAATTTTTCATTTTTTTGAATATAGAATCCAAAATACTCGCAAGTAAGACTGAATTTGGTGAAGAATCAAAATAATTACAGAGAGCGTCATAAATTGTATTTTTAACCAAATTAACAATTTTAATAATATTTGGTCTATTAATGTTATTATCAGATTCTTCCTCAGTTTCCTCTTCGGTTTCTTCCTCAGTTTCTTCTTTGGTTTCTTCTTCAATCTTTTCTTCTTCCTGATCCAAATCTTCTCTTGTTGACTCAATTTCTATTGTTTTTAATAACATATTAATAAATAACTTATAGCATATTTCATATTAATTTGACCTTGAAGATTATCACTCAAAACAAAATTTTCTAATAATACCAGTGCATCACTATATTAATTTATTACATAATTATATTCAAATATAATACTGGTTTTGTTCCAAATACCAGGCATCAGGAGTACCAAAAAATTAATTATTACGCAATTATAATTGATTATAATTGTTATCATAACCAATTAGTGATTCTACGTATTAACATATAGATGTAATGAATTATTGTACGTGACAATTAAGAAGTTATTAATTAATTATATTAGTTAATTTTTATTCATCACACAAATAATTTATCACACAAAATTGCAATTAATTGTGATAAATCATAATGAAATCCAGATCAAAATGAAATTATAATATAAAATCTCAAAAAATAATTTTTTTTGGGCCGCATTTTTTAGAGTTAAGGGTTAGGTTAGAAGTTAGTTTTAAAGTAAAGTTATAATAAACAAGTATAAATGGGTTTTAGAAGGTTAGCAGGTTGAGTAAAAAATGTAGATTTCATTTTAAATTATGATCTGCAACATTAATTGACTAATTGTGGTTGCGCCACCAATCCATTAATTGAATTCAAATAATTGCAATTAATTTCTCACATTCAATTATTCTGTAGGCCTGCTGGGTATTATATGCAGTGTTAAATGATATATGTAGTGTATAATATGTGAATTTGATGATTATACTACATAATTACGTAATTTTAAAAGTGACAACAAAAAATATTTATTGCAAATTGCAAATTCTATAAATTTTGCAACTTGTAATAAAAAAAATATATACCATTATTTTCTTCAATTACAATATAGTCGTATTTTAGAACTTGTATAGTAGGATATATTAGTGATAATGTGCTATATTTTTGACCACTAAGCCATTCTGTTGCTTCTTCAATTAGTTGAAAAAGCTTAATTAGATGATCAAGCAAGTCCCATTTCCAATATTACAAGAACCAGTTTTTTAATATTTTGTGATCTTTTTTTGCTTCATTATTATTTTCTAAAGAAAGTTTGAAGATAACTTGTTTTATGGGATCTTTTAATTCTTTTAATCGTTTCCAAGAAGCCAAAGAAGACCCCCACCGGGTATTATATTCATTAATGGTTCTTAAGATTTTTAAAGGAATATGAGTTGTTGTTTCATCTGTTTCTTTATCAGAGGTCAGTTCAGATGAATTCAAATTAGGTGAATCTTGGTTGGCTGAAGCTGAACTATTTAATATGTTTTAATCAATCTCATATCTTAATTGACGTTGTGCTTCTTCTAATTTTTCATTTTGTTTAGGAGAAATAAAAAAACTATTTAATTTTTTATATCTTTTTATATATGGCTTAATTTTACACAAGGCCTTGGTTACACATAATTGAAGAGTGTGTGCCGAGCATGGTACGCGTTCAACACCTTCTCACTCACGAATTGCCTTTATCATATTGGAACCACTATCAGTAACCGCTACTTTAACTTTATCATTTAAACCTATAGATGTAATTTTAGAAATAACAGTATTACAAATGTGATCACCAGTATGAGGGTATTTAATATTTTCAATACAAAGAAGGATATCATATAACTCCATATCATCATTCAACCAGTGACAGGTTATTCCTATATATCCATCTTTTGTACGTGATGTCCAGAGGTCAGTTGTTATAGCTGCATTTTTACAGATTTGCTAATTAATTCTTTTATTGATTAAAATGTTGCTTGATATCCAATACTCAAATTTTTTTTTATAGTTTTATAGGCTGGTAAACGAAATGCTGAATCTAATTTTTTCATTATTTTCTGAAATTCTGGTCCATTTACTGCGCTAAAGGGTTGGGAATCCAATCTGTAACAGCACATTGTAATTTATACTGCTTAGATTCTTTATGTGGTATGACTTTCTTAAATTGATCATCAATTTTTGTTTGTTTCTAAAATTAAATGTAATAGTAAAAAACACCAAAATTTTAATTATATAAAATAACTTTATTTTTATTAAAATTATTGTTTAAAATTTATTTACTAATTTCTCTTCATATATTTTATGAGCAGATCCTAAATGATGAATTATACTACTTGTTTGAGAATTATAAATACAGTTCCATCCACATTTTGTCTCTTCACTCTGGTTTGTAATATATCTACAGTAGTGTTAGGATCCGGATGACAATTCGGATATCCGGATTAACATCTGTTTCAAAAAACATACATCCGGATATTCTTCTAAATTAAAATATTAGAATCCGGATATCCATCCAGATGTATCCGGATATCCATCCGGATGTATCCGGATTTTATATATAATTTTCACAGTATTGTATATTATTCAAATACATCTGTAACTATGTAGTATTTAAATTATTTATTACTTACAAGAGTTTTATAAACTAATATAAACTATTGATATACTA